TTCTTCCAGAAAACCGTTTCGCAGATATGAAAGACAGATTTGAGTTTCCCATACCCAACTTGTTATTATGGAATATGTCTTGTTTTGAATGGTCACTTCGAGTAAAAAGCATTCCCTTATTAGTGCTTCTCTTAAATCATTAGCAGTACCATTATTCGTTCTAAATATTTTGTCACATCCTAAATTTACCTGATCTTTCAAAAAAGTGAGGGTCGTGAAAAGGATAGAGTGTGCTTTTCATTTCCACAACAAAATTTATGTACTGCTACTATGAAATGGCTTCCAAACCTTTCTTCTTAGCTTAGCAGGGCTTCATGGCAGTTTCACTGTAATTCCTTCTTGGATTCCCAGCTTTCATATGATTTTTGAGCTTGTAATATGCTTCATAGCTAAAGGCTGCATTCGCAAGCCATTCTCACCCAAATCATTTTCTCGCATTCAGGTCTAAACGTCATACGAAGCTTTATGATATTCTGCCAACTTATGGTAAAGCAGGTGCTGATCTAAGCAGGAAATGCCGCAGAATTGCGATTGAACTTATCACAAATTCTGGTAGAGTAGATGATGAGACTGCAGGTTACGTGATGCTTCCGCAAGGAAATGCTGGCTCGGAATCTTGACCTGAGCGTTAATTATGAAGGAGATGGTTTGAGCAATCAATATTGTATGGTTTTGTTCCCCATCTGTTATACCCTCTACTAAGTTGATAGTTTATCATGAAACTGTCCTTTGATGGGAGCTGCTCCTGTAGCAATCAATCTGGGTCGAAAAATTTGAGGTGCAACTTCTAGCTCTAAAGCACGCTGTCACAGCCCTGCAAGTTTGAAAAGTGGGAGTTCAAGGCGGTTTCTGGCTAATTTAATACGAAATTCTTTTTCATGAAGAGGTTTAAAGAGCTGCCTTATAAGGAGTACTTGCGAGAAACCCATGTTAGGCATGATTTGAACTCCTGCTCCTCCTTTCAAGACTTTCTCTTTCTTTCCATTGATCAGATAACTCCGATAAAAATGAACAATTGTGATGGCTTTTATAGTGTTGCTACAAATCAAAGGAGTATATACGACAAAGCTATAATCCAGAATTAAGCTTAACGGAAACCTGCACAAACTGGATAGCTTAATCTGACAAATTCAAATAAACTTACCGTAGATCTCCTTATCTTAGCCAGCGTCCACCAAATTTAGGTGAATCTGTGGCAGTGAAACGCAGTGTGGTGAGTTCAGTAAAACCATTTCTTTATCATTGCTGCTGCCAAGGACTGACGATGAGGATATAAGGTTTTTATTTTAAGCTTTTTTTGACAGCTATATGTGACTTGCTATTCAACCTAACTTATTCAATCTCCTCTGCCTTTTCGAGTTGGATGAAGTTTGGAAGTGACGCAGATAGATTTGAGAGCACAATGTTATTTGTCTGTTTTTCTCAAAAGGAAAGGAAATAATGGAGCAGAAATAAGTATGACATCAACTATTCTGAAAAAAAAGTACATTTAAACGCCAACTACATAGAAGTTGCGACGAAGTTGACTCCTCGAAATTTCTCTATGAAGCGCGTAGCTTCGAGGTATGTGGTATAGAGCAAGTTATGCTGCCACCCTTTTAACAGATGGTTGAATACGTCTTGCCACCTTGTTTATCACTAATTATACTAAGCACTTAACTCGTAGTTTTCAATAAACACTCTAATCTTAGACTAACTATGTGATTCATGTGAATTTTAATGTTTCAATCAATAAAGCATCTTTCAAATGTACATAAGCAAAGCAAGTGTTTGCTACTAGCCATTGTGTTGACTCAAGAAAATCAAGAAGAAAATTTATTGCGTGGACATGTGACCAGGAGGAAGAAACCACTCGAAAGAATAGCCTTGTCGCTAAAGTTTCTCAGTAGAAGACCACGAACCTAACATGCTGGAATGAGATGTTAGGGCTCTTAACATGTTGCGCAATTAACTTAACCAGGAGACTCTTACACTGAGAGGGAGAACAATTTTTGGCTTTGATTTTCCTCTCCATCTAATCACTTTCAAAGTCAAGGTACAATATTTTTGATTCAAAATAGTGAAAATCTATCTGAAAAAATAGAATACTGTCAATCAGCAATTATTTTGAGTTTCCTTTCGTTAGAAATCAGAACATTTGACTATTTTATTAGTAAAACAGCAAGCTCTTAAGCAAATCCTAAAGAAACAATTCCGCACAGCAATGTCAGCACTGATAACCTATATAATTACGTTTAATGTTATGTATTGACTTCGAGACAGCGTCAGGAGAAGAGGAGACATCATTCGTTGGACGATGCCTCAACTACAAAATAAAAGAGTTTCTTTGAATATCCTTGAATTGTGTCATGGACGGCATTGCCTAATTGTCATGACAGGCGCTAATGTCTAAGAAATGTTGCAGTATTACCAACATTACGCGGCGCTCGCCACATTACCAAATGGCGCTTACCAGTCGCTTAAACTGGATTTCGGAGACAAACACGGCTGGAGAGAGTTCCTACAGCTCTCCCTATCGCTCTCTCGTCGAAGATCACCCACTCTCAGTGACCCACCCTGGTCCAGCCAGTCAGCACATGATTTATTGCTGTTTCTGAGTATAAAGCTCGCTAATCGCAGTGATAACCACCATCATCCTCTTCGCACCATCTGAGTTTCAAGCCAAATAATGCGATCAGGATATCACCAAAGTCCTATATCTATGAAATTTACTGCTTATACTGACTTTTCAAAATAAATTTGTTGCTTTCATTTGAATTCTTTAGATGAAGCTTATTATCTTTGCGGTACTTTTGGGAGCAGTCTACTGTATTCCTGTTGATAACGGCGTTGAAGGGGAACCCGAGGTGGAATGTGGCCCTACTGCTATCACCGTCAACTTCAATACTAGAAATCCATTCGAAGGACATGTTTACGTGAAAGGACTCTACGACCAGCAGGAGTGCCGCAACGACGATGGAGGCAGGCAGGTTGCTGGGATAGAACTCCCTTTCGACTCCTGCAATACCGCTAGAACAAGGTGCACCATTTGCCGTTTACTGCGACCTACATATTCATGCTAGTATATCCTTACAGATCCTTGAATCCCCGTGGAGTGTTTGTCTCCACCACGGTGGTAATCTCGTTCCATCCACAATTTGTGACCAAAGTTGACAGAGCGTACAGGATTCAATGCTTCTACATGGAGTCGGATAAGACTGTGAGCACCCAAATTGAAGTATCTGATCTGACCACCGCCTTCCAAACGCAAGTTGTACCCATGCCAATCTGCCGTTACGAAATCCTTGACGGAGGACCATCTGGACAGCCTATACAGTTCGCCACCATCGGCCAGCAGGTTCTTTTTTCGTTTCGCACAAAGTCAAATTTTACCGCTATTTTAGGTATATCACAAATGGACGTGCGACTCAGAAACCACCGACACATTCTGTGCTGTAGTGCATACCTGCACTGTCGATGACGGCAACGGTGATACCGTCCAGATTCTCAATGAAGACGGATGCGCTCTTGACAAATTCCTTCTCAATAACTTGGAGTACCCAAGTGATTTGACGGCGGGACAAGAAGCTCACGTCTATAAATACGCCGACAGGTTGGTGGCTCCACAGCTCTTGTATAATTATTAACTTATAAGAAGATATTTTCCAAATATTGCAGTTTTTGAAACACATATTTGGTCTTCTTTCAGATCTCAGCTGTTCTATCAATGTCAGATCAGCATTTCCATTAAGGTAAACATAATAGTATATTCTCCGTCTTTTTGAAAAATGCTCCAAAATTTCAGGACCCTGGAAGTGAATGTCCTCGACCCCAATGTCCCGAACCCACTGGATTCGGTGCCGTCAAACAAGGAGGAACAGCACCTGCAGGCACAGCTGTAGCTCCTACAACGGCAGGAGGAGCTGCTGCTGGGGGAGCTGCTGCTGGGGGAGCTACTCCAGCTCGAACCGCTAACACCGCGGCTGCTCCGGGATCTGCTCAACTGAGACTTTTGCGAAAAAGAGAAGCCAGCAACGAGGCTATATTAGACGTTCGAGCTGAAATAAATGCAATTGAAATTTCTGATCAGGTAAAGCTACCCCTCGACCCTGTTTTTTTTTATATAAATTTTGCTTCGTATTCCAGGACTCGCTTCCATCTTCACTCCGTACACTATCACCGGCAGCGCTCGTCAGCGAACGCTTTGATGCCTCGGTGTGCCTGTCTCCACTTTCCTTCGCAGCTTTCATTGGTCTTGGCACCCTACTGGCGACTGCCCTTTCTGCTGTCGTCTTCCATTACGCACGACCCCACTACAAGTCATGAGCGCTCTCGTATAGTCCAAACATAATCGAGCGGTCCTTTTTTCCATCAACACCACTCCCAACCTCCTAATTTAACAGTACCTCGCTCGATTGCTCATCGTCAGCGTCATCTCCTGCCATGCGTCGTAGTATGGACGTCCATCCCTGCCTCCTCTACCGCCCTCACTGGGTGTCGTGCAATAAACCAGTTCGTAGCGAATGAAGATTTCTATCTCAAAAATATGACAACATTCTCAATTATTGTTCAAGGGACATATCAATTGAAATATGCCCTCCGTACATTCCTTGATTGACTTGTTCGAATCGAAGCCTATAAACATTACAACAGCCTAACCCTCCAAAAACAATATTCCAACATTCATGATGGGAAAATCGCTTCTTCACGCTCTTATCAAGTTCAGTATGTCAAATCCACTTTCGAGTTTACAGACCAAATTAAGAGCTAATTTCTGCTTATTTCAATGTTTGCTCGTAACACCTGCAGGTTAGCATGTGACAGTTCCTACTCCATAAGAAGTTTTTCTTCCTAACTGAAAAGTACCCTAAACGAAGCTGAAGAAGATACTTCTATGCCGGAAGCCTATTGAGTGAAGTTTGAGTTGATCGCTATTAGAAATGTAAGTAGTTTAATGTTCAAAGTTCACAGCTGTTGAATACGGCATGTTACATATCAGTTCATCCTTTAATTAAAGTCCATTCAGCTACTTGCATGTAAGAACATTCGAATCAGCAGTCCCAGGAGTACAGAGAGCGGAGCACAAAGTGATTAAATCCAAGAAGTCGGGTTATTCCATTTTATTAATTCAACTACCTCAGTTCAAACATATGAAATTTTTAATTTCTTCAAATTTTTTCAATTTTGTGAAAGGTTTTGTACGGCTGGTCCCGCTTTGACTCTCTTCGGGCAAGACACTTTTTGGCCGATTTACTTTCCACGATCATTCTGACGTTGGGAAATAGATCTC